AAAGGAAAAGAAAAAATACATGTGTAGGGCAGCACCTGGACCCATATACTGAGGGTGGTGGGTTGAAACCAGGCCCTGGCCAAACTGCAATAAAAAATAGCCAGGCATTGTGGCCAGCGCCTGTAGTCCCAGCTACTTGGGAAGCTAAGGCAAGAGAATTGCCTAAGCCCAAGAGTTGGAGGTTGCTGTGAGCTGTGACACCACAGCATTCTACTGAGGGATAAGTGGGATAAGTGAAACTGTCTCAAAAAAATACATATATGTACATGTATATACACATACTTAAAAAGAATTTTACAGTGATCAACTCCAAGTGGTGAGATTACTGGGATTATTTTGTTGATTTTGTGCTGATTTATATTTTCCATGATGAATATTCATATTTAACCTTTCCCATTAGAAACAGTTCATGTATTATTTCTACAATACAAAAGAGACAACACAAATTTTAAAACCAATTTAAAAAATCAATTTGTCACTGAACAAATATAAAAAATGTACTGAGAACAGTGCTGCTTAATTAAGCACCAGAAATAAGTGGTGAACCAAACCAATCCAGTAGGACTCCCACATGAGACAGGCATATGCGGGAACCTTACCATGAAAGTCATGGTCCTCTGTCCAGGCATCCGGCTGCACAACCACAATTGGGCGAACACCCTGCATCCCCAGGAAGGAAAGAACATTGAGGGTGTCAGAGCAGGACTACTGGAATAGTCACTTCACAATTTCTTGGTATTTGTTCAAGCATGCTATTTTGGGGGACAGTCACAGAAAAGAGGGGGAAAGGCACAGGGCAAAAGGGATTGAAGAGAAAGAACCTTTCCTCAGTATACCAAATATCTGTAGTTCCCAAGTCCTTACCCATCCCTTAGAGATGGAGATATCTGGTTAGAAAAGACTCCTAAAGCTACACTGGGGATGGTGAGGTCCATGGGACTGATAGGTATCACCCTGCTCAGTCACAAAAGAGAATATTGTGTCCCCCCTACCCCTGACAGAGCACCAAAAACTTACTGTGCCAAGTGTGAATGATGAAAGCTCCTTCACCACAGAAGCCCCACACAGCTGTACCATCCACTTCAGCTGATCTAAATAGGATATTTATACCTAAAATTACTACAATATTCTGTATACTTAATCTGGGCCCTCTACCACATACTCCTGTGGATAAAGGCTAACAGTAAAACTTCTCAATGGGAACATCTCTTGTCTCTCTGCTCTAAAGGACAGAAAAGCCTTAAACTAGAATCTATATGGATTCTAAGTCAATTTGCCACTGATGTGCTACCTACTCTGGTTATCAGTTTCCATAAAGCTTATTTGGTGGATAAAGTTTGATAGGTTTCTCAAATAAAATGGTTTGGAAAAAAAATTGAAGATCTAATTCACATTAATTTGCTAAATTGCTGGCTTAGACACTGTGAGCAAAAACATCCACCTCTTTCCCACTCTTCCTGCATCCTAATTCTGTGATGGTAACTGATAATCACGGCCACTGTGAGCACCATACCTGGTGGTAATTACTGTAAATGTCAAGAGAGGGGAAGATAATTCATCTAGTCAAAAAAAATATTATGTCTGGCTTGGCACCTGTGGCTCAAGTGGCTAAGGCACCAGCCACATACACCTGAGTTGTTAGGGTTGAATCCAGTCTGGGCCCGCCAAACAATGATGGCTGCAATTAAAATAGCCCAGTGTTGTGGCAGGTGCCTTGTAATCCCAGCTACTTGGGGGGCGGAGGCAGGAGAATCGCTTGAGTCAGGAGTTGGAGGTTGCTGTGAGCTATGACACCACAGCACTCTACCCAGAGTAATAAGTGGGACTGTCTCAAAATAAATAAATAAATAAAAATAAATAAAATAAATAAAAATAGGCTCAGTGCCTGTAGCTCAGTGAGTAGGACACTGGCAACGTGTACTGAGGCAGGTGGGTTCGAGCCCACCTCGGGCCTGCTAAGCAGCAATGACAACGGCAACCAAAATAGCTGGTTGTTGTGGTAGGCACCAGTAGTCCCAGCTACTTGGGAGGCTGAGGCAAAGAGAATTGCTTGGGGCCAAGAAAGAGTTTGAGGTTGCTGTGAGCTGTTATGGCACAGTACTCTACTGAGGACGACATAGTCAGACTCTGTCTCAAAAAAAAATAAAACTAAAAAAATAAAAATAGCTGGGCATTGTGGAGGAGGCCTGTCATCCCACAGCTACTTAGAAGGCTGAGGCAAGAGAATCATTTGAGCCCAAGAGTTTGAGGGTTGCTGTGAGATATGACACAGCACTCTTCCAAAAGTGACAAAGTGAGACTGTCTCAAAAACAAACAAAAACCCCCCCAAACAACTAAGAGTATATTATAAATGTCTTACCACAAAAAATAAATGAGGTGATGGTTATGTTAATCAGTTTTATTTCAGCATTCCACATTGTATATTAAATCAGAATATTATGTCCCATAAATGTATAGCTATGATTTAATAGAAATTAGGTAAAAATAAAAAATGAATACACTTTTGGAAATGGACAAATTATCAGAACTAAAGAAGAAATAAAAAAATGGAATAGGGAGGTGAATGTGGCTCAGTGAGTAGGGTGCTGGCCCCATATACTAAGGGTGGTGGGTTCAAATCCAGCCCCAGCCAAACTGTAAGAACAAAACAAAACAAAACAAAAAAATAGCCGGGTGTTGTGGCATGCGCCTGTGGTCCTAGCTACTTGGGAGGCAGAGGCAAGAGAATCGCCTAAGCCCAAGGGCTGGAGGTTGCTGTAAGCTGTTGACACCACGGCACTCTACCAAGGGCAACAAAATCAGACTCTGTCTCTAAAAAAAAAAAAAGGAGTAACACTATAGTTATTTAAACAGTAATGATTTATTTATTTATTTTTTTGGAGCTAGAGCCTCAAACTGTCTCACTGGGTAGAGTGCTGTAGCATTACAGCTCATAGCAACCTCTAGCTCTTAGGCTTAGGTGATTCTCCTGTCTCAGCCTCCTGAGCCTTTTTGCTCTTGAGAAGGGACATTAGGTCTAGCTTTTTCCCACAGGATAATATTTAGGTGCCATTTCATCTGGAGGGTGGTAGAGAAATACAATAAACTCTAGAAACATCTCACCGATCTGAGGAATTCTCACAGAGTGATCTCACTTATAATACTCCCAAACCTAGGAGAAAGGCTGTTTCTGGAATGTGGGAGTTCTTCTAAGCTCTTACCTGTGGGCATGTTGGTAAAGGGTCCATAGCAACAGATTTCTAGGCCTCTGAAGATCTGGAAGCAGAGGAAGAAAGAGGGATAGGGGAATGGAGAAAAAGAAACTTTAGTTATAAAAGTATGGGGTCACCAACAATAAAAACAAAAAAAGTATGCGGTTTTGGCTGGGTGTGGTGGCTCACACTTCTTTTTACTGCCCTCTGTAGAGTGCCATGGCAGTGTCACACAGCTCATAGCAACCTCCAACTCCTGGGCTTAGGCGATTCTCTTGCCTCAGTCTCCCGAGTAGCTGGGACTACAGGTGCCTGCCACAATACCTGGCTATTTTTTGCTGTGGTTTGGGCAGGGCTGGGTTTGAACCCGCCACCCTCAGTATATAGGGTCGGCGCCCTACTCACTGAGCCACAGGCGCTGCCATGTGGGTCACACTTCTAATCCCAGCAATTTGGAAGGCCGAGGTGGGTGGATTGCCTGAGCTCACAGATTAGAGACTAGCCTGAGCCAGAGCGACATTTAATTTACTCTCTAAAGGCTCGGCGCCTATAGCTCAACCGGCTAAGGCGCCAGCCACGTACACCTAAGGTGGCGGGTTCGAAT